TAGATGTCACCCATCACCTCCTGATGTCACCCCATTGCCATCCGTCAGGTAGGTTGTCATAAGACATCTTCGATGCCTGTCCTGTGAATCATGAGAAGAGGCACGGCTGTGCAGAGCACTGCATGTGCACTGGGCAGGTGTTCGGCTACGAGGGGACCAGGGGAACAGCGGGAAGGAGTGTCCCTTGTAGACTCAACTTCACCATCCACGCACTGGAGATAAGAGCCTACCGTGCTGTGCCCAAGCACAGCCCTCCACTTAGAGCAGGGAAGCGACGGTCAGGAATGACGCCATACTTACAAGGCTGTGTTTCCTTGAATTCCTCATGGATTTTCTAACCCACCACACCATCTGGCTCTTCAAATGCTGTCCACGAGAAGGGTTTGAGTTCCCCTATGGTGGGGTGTGATCAAAGACGCTCACAGCGGCAAAGCCGTCACCGAGGTTAGTATTCAGTGTCTGAAAAGAAAAGAAGGGAAGGCAGCCAACACCAGGCTCTCCCCATCTCACCACCATCATTGTGGCCCACGGAGACTGCCTTGAGCTGGGGAGGATGTTTATCCAGTTTACGCTGGCTTCTATGAGATGTGGATTGAACCCCCCTCCCCTCTATACAGCACCCCCAATGGTCTCCAGACATGGCAGCAAGCACTTCCAGAACGAGGACGGCTGGACACACCATGGCTGAAAAACATGGTCTACAGGAGGATTAAAATGCCCGATACCAGCAGCACACAGGGATGTGCAAACTGCACACCACCCTGGAGACCTGGACTAGACCTCTACTCTAACTGCTTGTGGTCTTAGCATCTTCGGGGGTCTGTTTCCTGTCATGTGACTAAAACCCCACATCCCACTGCCTGTGCTCAGGACCTGCTCCTTGAGAGATGTGGAGCATACATGCGGGAAAGGTATCAGAGGCATCGGGAGGTGTTGGTAGCGCGGGAGCAGCTGCCTCCGGCATCCTCTCACCATGACGGTGCTGTCTCTACAAAGGGCTGGTGTGGAAGAACACGGGGTGCTCTCACCCTTCCTAAGTGTCATCTTCAGACTTAAAGCCCCATGGCACAGTCGTGGCCAGGGCTTTCTCATGAAAAGCTTGAATCAGGAAATGAAATGGCATACGGAAGGCCTTCCCAGTGGGCACTGGGCGTGGATGGCTCCAGAGCCATCTGGGGGGTCACCGCACCTGGGGGTCACCACACTTGGGTTTGGACATAACATGATCAGATGCTTCATTTTCCTGTGGCGACAGCTTCCCTGACCTGACAGATTAGTACCCTCCTAGACAGTGAGCCATGAGATAGCCACCTCAGTTTCTGTTCTTTTGATGTGATAAGACATCAAGACCCAGGCAACTAATAAGAGAGTTTACTTAGGGCTCACAGCACCAGAGGGCAAGTCCATGGTCATCGTGGTAGAAAGAACTGCAGAAGGCGCGACACAGAAGTAACGGCTGAGCACGCATCTTGAGATACATCTCCACGGCAGAGAGAACTAACTGTCAATGGCTGGGCTTTTGACACATCCAGGACCCCTCTACCCCAGATTCAACATCCCAGATTGGGCACACATCCTAGTCTTCCCCACACAGTTTCAATGGCCACCAAGTGCTCAAACCACCACAAACCCCTCCTCTCTTCAATCTGCTTTGGTAGATATTTTGTCACAGTGGGAAGAGTAACTGACATGGAGGGGTAACCCCCAGAGGGGTTGTGTAATGGGGCGCTCTCTATGATCTGTCATTTCATGACCAGAAGCAAAACACTTTTTAGAAGTCAACATTAAATTTCTTTTGTAAGAAACAAGAAATTCAAAGGCAAAAATAATGTGCAGGGATCCCATTCTGCTCTCTGTTATGAGACCTGGCTGTTATGAGGCAAAGGCAGCTTTGTTCCCAGAGGAAGGGCTCCTGTAGAGGGCTTACTACATGCTCAGAGGGCCACCCTGTGCTGCCAGACCAGGGATGTTTGGGACAGAAGTTTCAGAGCTTCTCCCAGAAGCAATCACTTAGGAGTGTTGGCCCCTTCCCAACTGCCAGTTGCTAGTCACAGCATCTCCTGCAGCATGACTAAAGAGAGCAGGCAGCCAGTGTGGGAGGCTGAGGCAGGAAGATCGCTGTGACCTAACACTGAATTTGCGGGCATCCTGGGCTATAGTGTGATATTCCATCTCATAAACAAAACAAAAAACCAACAAAATAAAACAAAAAAAAGCCAAAAAAATCCAAGCAGGTGAAACCAAAACCAATGAAACAACTGAAAGAGAGAAAAAGCAAAAAAAAAAAAAAAAAAAAGGGGGGGGGAATCGCAGCAAACATGTCTGAGGACTCACTATGCATCAGGCTCAGCACCCCTAATTTCACCCAGGACAGCAATCCCAAAAGACTGGCACTTTTGTTGCCCATTTAACAGATCAAGGAGGGGTTCAGCTGGATTCAGACTCTCAGTCCAATGCCCACAATGCAATGGATGCCACTGGTTTCTAGCCCTTGATCAGGCTTCCTCCTCCAACTGCCTCTCCAACCACATTAAACAGTGAGGCTGGCTTTAGTCAATTTGTACATGTACATCAATATTCAGTTTCTTCCCCATTCGAGTTAAGGGGTAGAGAAAGTTACCACTGTCCCTGTGCAGCCCTGGCCAACGGCACTGTTTAGGACCAGGGAAGGATACACCAAGACTGGTCTACAGGGAGCAGAGGATCTTCTGCACCCGTCAGGGGTCAGGAGCAAGAGGGTCTGAAGCCCAGTGGTTCTGTTGGGAGCAGGGGGATTGTAACTTAGATGAAGGCAGTCCTGCCCCTTCAGAAGGCAGATGTCCCGGTATCCTGCACGGCATTCATCAAGTCAGCTCATGGCTGGGGCTCTAGTGATATCAGTCAACAAAGGTTTGGAATTCCTGTCTTTCTCCAGCTGGTGTTCTCGGGGAGGGGTGAACCAGTCCTTCACGCTAGTCCTGTGTCTAATCGATCACCAGATCCTGCAGTGCAGGAAAGAGCAAGCAGCATGATCCAACCAGCAAGGTGGGTGATACGCTTGCCTTCCTGACGTTGAGAACTCTTAGAAAAACTAATGTGGAAGCAAAGTGTCCCCAAAATTATGATGAAGAAGAGTGGCCGATGGGATAGATGGCTTCATTAAGTCAAAGAACATCAAACCACTCTGGGGACATTTCCTCAGAAGGGAACAATCTTTCCCTAAGCTGCCTCCAGCTAACTCCCAACCGTGGTCCTAGGAGGACACGGCTAAGCTTCATTCCCGCACCCACGCACACGCTTGTACTCAGCCAGTCTCGGCGTGGTCCCCTTTCCTTGGCAAGACCATACCTCAGCTTACTATAACTCCTTCCCAATTTCCAAGACGCAAAGCAGATTGATTCCATTTTCTTGGTGACACATTTTCTGATCACTCCTAGCTCATTTCCAGTTCCTGCAAGGAACTGGCTCAGCCGCGAAAAGTCCATACCATTTCCACACTGGTCTCACAGAGCATGCGCCAAGCCCCCCCCCCCCAAGAAACAGGCTTGTGCCTTCCCCACCTGCAGCTCTGTGAGGGCCGGGGTGGGTCTCCCTGTCCCCCTGTGTGTGAACAGCTGGTCCACAAGAAGCAATATTGTTTGAAAAGATAGCAGGATTAAGAAATAACAAGTACAGCGCCTAGCTTATCTAAGATGTCACGGTGTGATACATATTTCCCAAACGACAAGTATTTTAACGTAGGAATTCCTTACCTAGTTTCCCCTTAGGTAACCGTCCATTCAAGAAAGCTAACGGAGACTTATTCATGTCTGATATAAGTAGGCCCGTTCGCACACACACCACAGCTGAAACAAGCCTGCAGAGCCTCCTTCACTGCCCCATCTTAATGCTGTTTTTTGAGGTGTATAGTATTGAGTGCCAGGACATTCCAGACCCACCAGGATACATCTCAGAATCAAGCAACGCTTCGGTGTGGGGCAAAAGGGCTCTCGGGGACAGCAGTGGTAAGAATGAAGGACGCTGGGCAAATAGAAAAGTTATTGATTGTGGGTTGAGGGTGTCTTTATAGTTTAGGGAAATCCTAGTAAGCAAACTATTTTAAAGAAATAACAGATGTTTTAAAGGTCTCAGTTACCTGCTCTCAGGGTCAGGCGGCACATCTCAAAGCCCCACGAGTCCCACATTCCGGGGAGTCAGGTTCCCGTGGGATGCCTGGTGCTCCTGCGGCCCTGCACGCTCCTTAGGAAGCTGGGACTGAGGGAGGGGATAGGCTTCCAAGAGCGCTGCGCTCTCTGGGGCTCCGGTGTTCGCCAAAGTCTCTGCGGTGACTCTGCCAGCGGGGACACGCGCACAGACGCTCCGGGTCACCAGAGCCAAACGGAGTTTGGAATTTTGCCTGCCCGGCAGCCCGGGATGGTATAGCCTCTCCCCTATCCCCTACTCACCTGCTTCTCTGAGCCACGTCCTTTTTTCCCTTTGCTCCTGGCTCCAGAAGACCTCTGCGCAGCGACCGGGTTCCAAGACTCACCAAGAGAGACTGGGTATGGTAGTGGGTGGTACACTCGCCAGAGTCCCCACCCTGCCCTGGGGGATGGTGGTGGAGGGGTGCGGAACAGCCGACCTTGTCCCCGCTAAGACCCCAGGATCCCTCGGGGACAGCGCACGCACGGTGGGTGACCGGGACCCCGGGAGGAAAAGACATGATGCATGAAAAACTTTGAGTCCTCCAGCGGCGACTGCGGGGAAGGCTATCGTTACTTCTGCCCGGGGCCGCTGCAGTTGCGGGGTTGTTGGCCGGATAGGGCGGCGGTGCGCAGCTTCCAGGCTCGAGGCGATTCTGCCCGGCTGAACCCGCGCAGCTCCTGGCCTCTCTGCACCGCTCTGCGCTCCGCCAGCCCGATTGCGCGCTCTCCCCGGCCCCGCGCACTCCGCGCCTCTCTGGCGCCCCCAGCGGCCATGCGCAACACAGCAGGGCCGGGTAGGGCCGAGCGCGCCCCGCCTCCTGCCTCCTCCGCCGCCCTCCTCCCCCTCGCAGAGCACTCAATGTCGGAACGTTCCGAAGATGACGTCGGAGCGTTCTCGAATCCCGTGTCTCTCGGCTGCTGCTGCCGAAGGAACAGGGAAAAAGCAACAAGAAGGAACAGCAATGGCGACACTGCACCGCAAAGTGCCCAGTCCGGAGGCGTTTCTGGGCAAACCCTGGTCCTCCTGGATCGACGCCGCCAAATTACACTGCTCCGACAGTAAGAACCCCACCGCCTGCTCCTCCTTTTATTATCCTGTAACCTTTCCATTCACCTAGAGCCACTGGGAAAAAGTGTGTGTGTGAGAGAGAGTGGCCCCCGGCGTCCTCCATGCTTCTCCCTCTCTCTCTAAATAAATACACACAGACACAGACCATCAGAGCACAGAGAGGCCCGGCTGCCAGCAAGGCTGTCTGTCTGTCTGTGTCCGGCTCCCTGGGGCAGGCAGCCCGCGGGGTGGGCTTTCGCAGCCCCACGGTGGTATCTGTTTAAAAGGCGACTCTGTTGCTGCTTGCATAGTTTTTTTGGTACCTATCTGGGCCAGGTAGATGGAATCCCGGACTCGGGAGAAAATGTTGCATTGTCAATTTTTGCAAGATTTTCAGATACAGTATCTATAACGATCTGTTTGCCAATAAACACTCTCCCTTCCCCCTTGACTTTGGCTTTCCCCCCCTTTTTTCCTCATTTTCTTTTTTCCTTTTCTTTTTCATCTGCAGATGTAGATTTAGAAGAGGCTGGAAAAGAGGGTGGCAAAAGCAGGGAGGTTATGAGGCTTAATAAAGAAGGTAAGTGGAGCTCTTGGCATTTTAGTGTTAGCTTGTGTGGCAGTCTTCACAGGCTTTGGGATATAATGTGAATTGTTCTTCTGGGTACAGAGTGACTAAGGCTTGTCAAAAACTGAGCACGCCCGGGTGACTACTGCTTCACTGCTAACTTCCTTCCAAGTATAAATACAACTAGGGTGGGGGGGGGGGATGCAGACTGGGGGAGGGTGGAAGGCAGAAGTTTACTGTACTCCACTGGAGTCCACGTCCGAACACCCTGATGGTATCCGCCATTCTCCTTGGGGGCACCATTGGCCAATGCTGGTGGTGGGGTTTGAAATCCCCGAGTAAGGCGTGGAATACCCTTCACATGCATTCCAGCCTCCCTTGTGTGTAAATTCACAAGTTTTAATGAACCCCACATGGCGGATCATTCCAACAGCTACTTTTCCACTCTCGCTGAAAACCATTGCACATGGCCAGCCCTGACTGCAAGTGACATTTTGTGTCTGGGTGCGGGTTGTAGGTGCATCAGGATGTGCACATAGGTCCCTAGCCTGCACTTTTCCGCAGTCTGTGCTTCCCGACATACAAACATGATACCTGAAAAGGGACACAGTGAATAGACAGATGAGCTTGGATTGGGGCCTGTGAGGGAAGCCTGTAGTGCCAGACCTGGGGCGACACATACCTGTAAGTTACTTTCGCCGTTTGCAAGTCCACTATTTGGCATGCCGGCTCCTGGCTTCAAATGAAGCTACTTAGGAGGCCACTTTCTGCTTAGAAAAAGGATGGGTTCATCTGAATTGTGATGTACTCACTGGAGTTTCAATGGTGCACCAACTGGCTGAAGTTGGTGCCGGGAAGAAGGTGCAGGAGATCGCTGGAAGGTGTCAAAAAAGTTCACACATAATTTGGCCGTAGGAGCATTTGCTCATCCATAATGAATGGAGGAAATGCCATTTGACTCTATAGATCAGTCTACTGCTGACAAGGGGGTGTTGCCTGAAAAGGTGGATGGAATTTATTTGGAAAGGTGGACCTCACTTTGCTGACTGACACCCAAGATTGTTGGTTTTCAGTGTCCTCATCCATTCTTGACTGCCCAGTAAGGAAAGAATGATGCCGAGGTTAAAATGCACATTCAAGGGCAGCTCTCTAGCTCTGTGTCTGCTAATTAAGTACTTTGGGAACAAAACGTTATTCTAAAGATATTTGCCTCTCAGCATCTTTGCGTGGTTTTGGCATGTGTGTTTAGGATGCACGAGGGACTGGTGTCAAGTGGGCTCCTCACAAGTGGCAGCTTATTAGTGCTAAATGTCCATGTGTGTTTGCAATGGAAGGGGATCCCTAGTGGCTCTCATTCTCCTCAGGTCTTGATCCACTTCGAGAGCTGAGCTCTCAGACCACCAGCCTTTTCGCCACGATGAAGGTGCAAACGCCTGTATGTTAAAGTTGACGAAAGGCTGTGGCGTGCATGGGCTTGACCCCTGGCAGCCCTGGGTGACGAGTTGGGACTACGACCCACAAAGCTCAGATTCTCCGGCCACTGCTATCTGTTTCAAAATACTCTTGTTCTCAGATTCTCTTTGCGGCGTGAGAAATGGATTCTTTTAAGGGAATATGAAAAGCTCTCCTTCCCTCAGAAGTCACAGATGTTACGTCTTACTTATTATGTCCTCTGTCCTGCAAAGGTACAAAGACTTTGCTTCTCATTGAATACGTCTTCCTGGGGGATACCTGCCGTTTCAGTCGCCATGAATTTGGCTTCCATGGCCACACATGGACTTCCTCTCTTTGTGGGCCTGGTGGAGTGGCCTTGGGTGAAAAGTTGAGAAGTTCTGAGGTCACGTAGTGCAGCAGCACAACTTTCCTTACAGATAAAAACATATGGGCAACAAATCCATGTTCCGTGGTTGGGCCGGGACTCTGTGTTAGAGTGTTTGGTCACACTGGGCCTGCTAATCCATGTTCCGTGTTAAGAACTTCCAGGGTAGGCTGGGACTCTGTGTTAGAGTGTTTGGTCACACTGGGCCTCCTAATACATGTTCTGTGGTAAGAACTTCCCGGGCTGGGACTCTGTTACAGTGTTTGGTCACACTAGGGCTTGCTGGAGTCACAGGTGTGAGGCCTGCGGGTGGGTAGATATTTGTGGAGGGCCGTTCATCCCAGGACATAGTGTGGCCTTGTGGGACTCTGAGCATCTGTGTTTATGAATATGCCTGACTGGTGTGGTGGGCTGGAAGCAGGTCTTGAGGAGAACTATGGTAATAAAAGAATAAACGTTGAGGGTTGACATTGAGAAACGGTGGGCTTTCTGTTGTGGAGCCGAATAAGCGACGTAGAATTTACCTCTAAGCTCTTTTGAGTGCGTAGCCCAGGGGGCTTTGCGACTTTGCCGCTCCTCATTCGCCAGCCGTTTCACAGTCTTACGCAGAAACTCCGCTCTGGCGGAGTTTGCGCCGGCCTGTGTGTACCGACTTCCCTTCAGCGTCCGCCTCTTCCATCCTCCTCCTGTCTCTGTGAAGGCTCCTGGTCTCGGTTCCTCGCGTAAGCGGAACCACACAGTGTTTGTCATGTCCTTTCGAAGGTAGCGTCATGTTCCATACTATATACACCGCTCATCCATTGGCTGTGTGGGGCATTCCCACCTTTGGACCATTGCAAAGACTGCTTTTATGAGCGTTGGTGCGATGCGATTGTTTCTTAGACAGAGGTCAGAGAGGGAAGTTGGACTGGAAATAGGAAATAGGAGTCATTTTTTTCTGCTGAGCTGTCTCCCCACGGCTTTGGAAGGTACTGTAGGCACTAGCAGACTTTTGGATAACCTGGTAATTGCAGTATCGTTCCTGGCACCATCCCTGGTCCCACTAACCTTCCTTTGCTTTGGCTCATCACCTGTGTTGAGTAGGAACTCTGAGCTGGATGCTCTGAAGTCTCCACGAGGAGTCTCCTCCTCAGCTTTCTTATTTCCTCTCAGCAAAGGCATTTGACCTGTAAACTGTTGCTAATTCCTTTTTGGCCTGGGTTTATGAGGGTTGCCTTAGAGTAGTTTTGCTGCAGGGTGAGCCAGCTCCCCGCTTAGGCCCTAGGGAGAGGTGCACTCCTCTGGGCTGATTCTCCAGCTGTGAAGCAAGGGGTTTGGGACTCACTGCCCACCACAATCCCCCTGAGACTTCTGTACTCCGGCTTCTCTAGTCAGTTCCCTGCCTTTAAGCTGCAATCGTGCTGGACAGCCTAGCCGCCTCTAAAGAAACTTGAAACAACAACAACAAACAAAAGCCCCTCATGTTTTAAAAAATCAAACCAAACCAACAACAAACAGACAAAACATCCTTATGTGGCTTCAGAAATATTGAGAATAACTGGGTATATTTTCTCAGTTTTTAAAAGTTTATCTCAGTGCCGACAAAAACCAATCGCTGTGTTGTCTGTTTATTAGAAACAGTCGTGAATGGTTTGGGGTCACAGACCTCACCGAAGAGGGCCTGAGTCTAGACCATAGTAGAAAAAGAGGGGCTGATTCCAGACCCCACAGAGGAGAGGGGCTGAGTCCAGACCCCACAGAAGAGAGGGGTTGAGTCTAGACCATGGCAGAAGTAGAGACCTGAGTTAAACACGCACCACAAATGTCTTCTTCCCATGAAGAACACTCTAGCCTCAGCTTGAGTCTGTCAAGCTGTGAGCTTTCCTCAAGGAGGGTCCCAGGAACCTTGTTGCTGGCCCAGTCGTCCTGAGAACTGAATTGCTGATAGAAAATTCCAGGGAAGGCTGTTTTCCTGTGCTAACTCTGTAAGCCACACTCTTCTCTCCTCCAGTGTGGTAGGTGACGCCTGAAGACTTCTTACTTTGGGAAGCTGCTCTTGTTACTAAGGGCCTCAACCAACTTTTTAAAAAGAAATACCAACTCCTAGACAAAGAATGGGGTCCATGTGTCTCAGAAGAGTCCTAAACTATAAAACAGATGTTATCAGGGAGTGTGAATGAGGTAATAGGAGAGACCTCGGCATACAGTAAGTGCCAAATGCATGCCTGCTTTCGTTCCTCTTATCATTAGGACTGTTGCCATCATTCATTACTGAAACCAGCTCAGTAAAATGGTATTATTTTAATTAATTAATTAATTGAATTTTTAAGTAATCTGTGGTAAAAAAGAAAAGGCATACTGTAGGAAGAACTTCAGTTTTAGAGCTAGGCGTGCTACGATTCTATTATGATTAATGATTTAAAAACAATTTATGTGGACATAGTGTTTTTCATAGACTGCAGCTAAGAAGTTGGTTTTGTCAAAAGCAGAAAAATACTTAGGCATTCGTGGCGTCAGAACACGAGGAGCTGGTTTTGTTTGTTTGTTGTTTGTATTTATTTTACTTGTGGTGCTTCCTGAGATCTACAAAAATACATTTGAAATGATAAGTTGTTCCATTTATTATGGATAAAAGCCAGTCCTCCAACAAGGACCTTCCTGGGCCTTTTGGAAGTCTGTACTTGCCCTAAGAGTCTTTTCTGAGGTTCCCAGCCTTTCATCTGGTGAAGGTAGATGAGAAATGCTTCCAGTCGCAAAGTGAGCTGGAGGAGCAACGCTGTGAGAGGCCGGCCACACGCTCCCGAGACCCTGGAGGAGCAGGGAATGTGGGCATGATATCTGCTCGGGCTCAGAGGTTAGGCTTGGAAGGGAGCCGAGTGGAGGGGAAAAGGGCAGCTGGCCTGGGAAGATGATGTATTCTTCCGACCCAAGCCAGGGAAGCCAGAGACAAGCCATGGAGATTTATGGGAAACTATCTTCAGCTTCTTTATCATTGCACAGACAACTCCATTATCTATGCTAATAGGAGAAGGGAAGGCTGGAGTCTGCAGATTACACAGATAAACCTAGTTTTCACTATTAATTTCACTCTTACACCTACCATCCTCCGCTTTGCTGGGAGCAGCAAGATTTGTTTATGTTGGTCTTTCGTTGGCATCTCTCGGTTGCTCTGGGCCTGGAAGGACAGGGGAGAGGGTGAGGCAGGGCAGCTGAC